TGAAGAAGGGTCTAGGCCCAAAACGCCAGCCTTCCTGCTCCTCTGATGCTGCTTGGCCTGCTGTATTCATCCAGCTCTACACCTTGTTATCTAGTATAGTTTCTTGCTGATTTTCTCTTTTCTAACTTAGGACTGGGAAATGTCTCTATTTCCACCTGATAAAGATCAGTTCTGAAGAACAGTTATATCAGCCTTGAAACTTTAACTCTGTTTCCCTCGCCACAGATGCTGCCATACCTCCTGCATTTCTCCAACATTCTCATGTTTGTTTCAGATTTTCCGCATTTGCAGTATGTTGTTTTTAATTGCAGGTTGGTACCAAAGTATGATTGCAATTAGCCTATCTTGCCAGGTCCCATTGCAATCAGTAAGAAAGTAGCTTGCACAAATGAACATCTCTGTTTTTGGATAGCTAATTTTTACTGTTAAAAGCTGGGAGTGTACTTTTTTCTCATAACATTAAAGATGATTTCAACGCAAGTTTTAAAGGATTCTGTGGTTTGCCTGAGCACATTAACTTTACAGGGACAATTCAGTCAAATCATAAATATGTACCTGCTTAAGACTGTTAATTAATATAACTTAATTAATATAACTGTTATTTTCTGATACAGCAGTTTTATCAGTTTAACATACTTGTTCTAGTCAAGCAGTTGTCATTTGTATTTCTTGGCTAAGAATGTAATTCTCTGTCTCAAAAAGAATTGGATGTGTTTGGTTACAGGCATTCATTGTGCTGCCTTTCCCTCATCAATTTTAAACGTTTTGAAGTTGTGATGGAAATGTCTGCACTCTCCAAATGTTACTTTGATTTCCATGTAACATTGTCAAGGAAACCAACAGTTTTTGATCAGTTTTGGCATCAATGACTTCAGCAAAATGAGGTTGCTTTTTCCAATGCCTGACATCATTTTTTAAAACTTGTGGGACATGTGGCATTGCTGGTTCAGCCAGCATTTATTGCCCTTTTCTTTTTACCATTGAGTTGGTGGTGATCTGGCTTCTTGAACCACTGCAGTCTATTTGCTGTATGCAGACCACAATGCCACTAGGGAGAGGATTTTTTTTTATCAATGTATCCATTCTTTTGACATCATTTATGTATTTAAAAATCAAAGTCATAGTTTTCAAATCCTGTCATCAATTTGAATTTATGATAATCAATAAGTATTTTTACAAACCAACTTCTTAACTGAAAAGCAAAAGAAGTTACAATCTACATAGTATGTTCTGTAAACAACTCCTTTATATTTGGCATTTCCTTCTAGTATTATTTTGAAACCGCAGGAGGGTTTTAATTTAAATTTAAATTTAAATCTATTCAACTATTCCCCATTATATTGTGTTCCGTTCATTAAACAGCCTCTTAGAAGTTTGTGTTTATAAGTGACAATTGGCAAACAGGAGAAGCTGCATGCATTACTTTCTCAAATGCTATTTTTATTCAACTCTTTGAATATTCCTAGATGTATTGTATTGGGCACTTTTGCAATGAAATTTCGTATTGCTCTCGTCAAGGCCTCTTCAACTTTTAAAATGCATGAATTCCATCACCTCGCAAGGCAAGGACAGCAGATGCCTGGAACCACCTGCAAGTTCCCATTCAGACAACATATCTATCTGACTTGGCACTATGTTGTCATTCTTTCAATGTTCTTGATTAAAATTCTGAAATGCCCTTCCTAATTGCATTGCAAAAATGTACATCCACCAGATGTACTACACTGGTTCATGAAAGCAACTCATTACTACTTTCTCAAGGGCAACAAAGGATGGGCAACAAACTATGACTTTGTCAGAGAAGCCCACATGCCATGAAAAAAAAATTTAAAACAATACACTGGAGTATTACTGCAGTAAGTGAATGATCTACTTATCTGCCAAATTCATATCCTTTTCTGAAGAAGGGTCTAGACCCGAAACGTCAGCTTTCCTGCTCCTCTGATACTGCTTGGCCTGCTGTGTTCATCCAGCTCTATATCTTGTTATCTCATATGCTTGTAGTGTCAGAAAATCTCTCTGAGTGAGTTTCATGTCAGTTGGCTTAATATTCAATTCCAATATTGGACCTATACTGCTGCAAAACCAGAATTGGAAGTGATAGAATTGTTACGGTCCTGGAAACATAATAAGATTTCTTAATTGTCTTACATTAGTAAAATTTCTGCACTACGTTCTGCATCCAGAGAAAATCAGAAACACGTAGTAGCATGCTTTGCCAACACAAGATTGGCCCTTTTTTTAAAAAAAAGAAATGTAAATAAAGTATTGTTAAATGTGTTCCTGAACTTGAAATTGACATTGATTTTTTTTTAAAGTTAAATCTCTTTTTCACTAATTTTTGACCAATAATATTGACAAAATATTTTGTGGTTTAATTTTTGCAAGGAAAATTGTTCTGAACAAATGTTAAAACTAATTCATAAAATGTTCTGAAGTAGAAGTCAACCTTTCTGAAGAAGGGTCTCGACCCGAAACGTCAGCTTTCCTGCTCCTCTGATGCTGCTTGGCCTGCTGTGTTCGTCCAGCTCTACACCCTGTTATCTCAGATTCTCCAGCATCGGCAGTTCCTACTATCTCTGAGAATTGGTTAATGACTTTATTACTATTATCAAAAAAGTACAACCCATAAAAGTTATACTGCATAGATCTGGACAGCTGGATAAACTATCAATCAATATACATTAACTGTCATCACTACCAGATATATGTTCCATATTTATTGCATTTCATGGATGTGTGCTCTTCAGAGGAATTATAGAGAATAGGAAACATATCTGTTTCTATGAAAACAAAATATTTTGATGGGAATCTTTTTGTTTCAGAAGGTGATATTTTATATTGCTATGGTACAAGGAAGATTCATTCAATAAATTAGTTACCTCTCAACTATATAAAGGATCAGCAAGCAAGCATTTACTTTAAAAAGAGAACTGCAAAATAGAGAACTCAACAAGGAAGATTCACAACAGTAAGTACTGCACTGTAGTACCAGCATAGTTTTTTTGTTTAATAAGGATTAGAAATGTCTATGTGTATCGATGAATGTATTTTTGTGAAGTAATTGTCATAAACTTGTGTCTATTTTATCCACTATTTTTGAACAGTGCGTCTATACATCAATGACCTACTGTGAAAATATTGCTTCTTGCTATAATCCTTTATATTGTCATGAAGAGAGCTCTGCATATGGTGACAGATTAAGCAGACATTCACTTCTGATCATTCATTTTTAAGTGTCTTAAAAGTAAGATTGTGAATGTGTAACTTTTCTTTGGAGATCTAAAGTTGACCATTCTGTAACAAAAATAGAAAAGTTGATTGGCCATTCTTATATTGGAATGTGGAGAAGGGACTGTAAATACAGGAAAAGGTAAATCTTTTCAAAATAATAGCTTTAAACCTAAATGCAGAAGATAATGTTTAAGGATAGGATTGGGAACAAAACTCACTGGAGGAATGAAGTTTGATGTCTTTTTTCCAAGTCAGAAACTATATGTTGATATTTGAGCTGCAAACTGAGTTTAACAAGGAATACTGAAATCCAGTTAATTTTGAAAGGAGGCTTATCAAAATGAATTGTATTCCTTAACAGTGACTTTTTTTTCTGACAAATCCTGGATCTCTTGCTTGGAGTTGACATTTGTAACTATTCACCTTAAAGTTATTTATAATTTAGATAAAAGCAACGTTGATTTACAGTATGTTATCATTAGTAGTTTGAAATAAGTATCATATATCTCTAGCTAAATATAATTGATATACTGTTTCTAAGTCTGGATGAATAAATGAATGGATATATGATTCATTATTTACTGCTGTGTTGTATTTTTCATTTTTTCATTCTTTGAAAAAAAATCATGTTTTTACTTTCAGGTCAAAGATGATTTCTAAGAGAGTAATGATAAATCTGATGGTTGTTTGTGTTGTCGCGATGCTGGCAGAAGAGACTGAGGGGTTCCTGAGTTTTTTGAGCCCAAGTGATTACCAAAAAAAGCTTGTATGTAAAACACTTATTGTACAGTTTAAATACTTGACTCTTCGTTTTGTAAGCAAATTATGCCATTTTTTCCTTAAAAATTTTGTAATATACAATTTCTGAAGAAAGAAGGATTACACTATAACGCTGAGAATACCATCCGGGCACGGTCCAGTCTTGCCCCAAGAAACTCAAATCTGGTTTTGTTAGGATTAATTATCTATTTGTGAAATGCCATTTGACATTATCTTTTTGTTTCAAAGGAAAATGACAGAATCAGAGTGGGAAAAAATGTGCCAATGAACCTCCAAAAGAGATCTGAAGAAAATAACTTATCAGAAATGTCCAGTACGGAAGAAATGAAAGTAGTAAAGGTACATTAATGAAAAATAAAGTAGTATAGTTCTTTGTCCTAGTCTCTCCTATTAGTGGAAGCATCTTTTCCACATCCACAGTATTGAGGCCTTCCAATATTCCGTAAATTTCAATCAGATCTCCATCATCCTTCTAAACTGAATTGAGTACAGACACAGAGACCTCAACCACACCTCATATAACTCGCCCTTCATCTGCGGGATCATTCTTGTAAACCTTCTCTGGACCCCCTCCAACACCAGCACATCTTTCCTCAGATGTGGAGCCCAAAACTGCTCACAAAATTCCAAATGTGGTCTGACCACAGCATTATACAGCCTCAACAATACTTGTATTGGAGCCCTATTGAAATGTAGGCTAACATTGCATTTGCCTTCCTAACTCCCAAATGAACCTGCATGTTAACTTTAAGAGAATCCTGAATGAGGACTTCTAAGTCCCATTGTGCTTTAGTTTTACAAAGCCTTTCCCCGTTTACAAAATGTTCTACATCTCAATTTTCCTACCAAAGTACATTACCTCACATTTTCCCACATTACATGCCATCTGCCACTTTGTTTCCCAATCTCCTAGCCTGTTGAAGTCCTTCTACAGCCTTCACACTGCTTCGACACTACCTGTCCCTCCACCTATCTTTGTGTCATCTGAGAACTTAGCAACAATGCCCTCCATTCCTTCATTTAGATCATTACTGTATAACATCATTAGCTCTGGTCATAACACTGACCCCCAAGGAATCCATAGAGTCATAGTCATACAGCACAGAAACAGGCCCTTTGGCTCAATTGTCCATGCCAATCAGGTTTCCTAAACTGAACTAGTTCCATATGCTGCGTTTGGCCCATACCCCTCTAATCCTTTCCTGTCTATGTACCTGTCCAAATCTCTTTTAAATTTTGTAATTATATCCACCTGTACAATTTCATCTGATAGCTCATTCAATCTATGCACTGCCCTCTGTGTGGAAAAGATTCCACTCCTCCCCCCTTTTAAATCTTTTCCTTCTCACTTTAAACCTATACGCTCTAGTTTTGGACTCCCCTACACTGGGAAAAAGATCTTGGCTATTCACCTTAACTATGCCTCTCATAATTTTAGAAACCTCGACACAGTCACCCCTCAGCCTCCTATGCTCCAGTGAAAAAAGGTCCCAGCCTATCCAGCCTCTCCTTATAGTTCAAACCTTCCAGTCTCAGTAACATCCTTGCAAGTCGTTTGTGCTCCTGTTCCAGTTTAATAACATCCTTCCTATAGTAGGGTGACCAGAATCATACACAGTACTCCAAATGGGGCTTTTCCAATGTCTTGCACAGCCATAACATGACGTCCCAACTCCTGCAGTTAATGTGCTCTGACCGATGAAGACAAGTGTGTCAAACGCCTTCTTTACCACCTTGTCTACCTGTGACACCACTTTCAAGGAACTATGTATCTGCACCCCTAGATCTCTCTATTCGACAACACATCCCAGGGCCTTACCATTAACTGTGTAAGTCCTGCCCTTGGTTGTCTAACCAAAATGCAACAACACCTCATATTTATCTAAATTAAACTCCATCTACCATTCCTCAGCCCACTGGTCCAGTTGATCAAGATCCTGTTGGATTGTTAAATAGCCTTCTTCACTGTTCACGATACCACCAATTTTGGTGTCATCCGCAAACTTACTAAACATGCCTCACATATTCTCATCCAAATCATTTATATAAGTGATGAACAACAGTGGACCCAGCACCAATCCTTGCGGCACGCTACTGGTCACAGACCTCCAGTTTTAACATCAACCATCTACCACCACCCTCTGTCTCCTGCCATCAAGGCAATTTTATATCCAATTGGCTGGCTCTCCCTGGGTCCCATGTGATCTAACCTCACTAACCAGTCTACCATGTGGAACCTTAGTGAAGGCCTTGCAACTTCAATGTAAACAACGTCTACCACTCTGCTTTCATCTATCATTATTCACCAGCTGCTATCTTGAAAAAGACCTCTTTATTCCCATTCTCTACCTTCTGCCAGTCAGTCAAGCCTGCAACCATGCCAGTACCTTGTCCCTAACACCATGGGCTCTTAACTTATTCAGCAGTCTTCTGTAAGCAATTTGTCAAAGGCCTTCTGGAAATCCAAATAGGTCATTTCCTTTGGCGCTCCTTTGTTTAACTTGCTCGCTACTCCTCAAAAAATTCTAACAGATTTATCAGGCATGACCTCCCGTTCATGGAACCATGCTGACTCAACCTTATTTTACCATGGATTTCTAAGTACTCTGCAATCTGATCCTTAATAATGGATTCTAAAATCTTATCAACAAACAAGATCAGGCTAACCGCCCTATAATTCCTCTATCTCCTTCACCTCTTGAACAGAGGTGTTACATTGGCCATTTCCAGTCCTTTGTGATACTACCTGAGTCCAGAAAGGTCATGATCAATGCCTCCACAATCTCCTCAGCTATCTCCTTCAGAACTCTGGGGTATAATCCATCTGGTCTGGGTGATTTATCCACCTTTAGACCTCTCAGCTTCCCTAACACCTTCTCCTTAGCAATGGCCACTACACTTAGCTCTGCCCCTGACTCTCTTGAAGTTCTGGTATGCTACTGGTGTCTTCCACTGTGAAGACAGGGACAACCTACATATTCAGTTCCTCTGCAATTTCTTTGTTCACCATTACTACCTCTCCAGCCTCATCTTCTATTGGTCCAATCTTGCCCCTCTCTCTTACCTTTTATATAAATAAAAAGAATTCTTGCAATCTTCTTTTATATGATTAGCTAGTTTACCTTCTTATTTCATCTTCTCCCACTTAATTGCTTTTTTGTTGCCTTCTGCTGCTTTTTAAAGGCTTCCCAATCCTCTGGCTTCTCACTAATCTTCAACACATTGCATGCTTTTTCTTTTACTTATATGGTGTCCCTTGTCACCCATGGTTGCCTTGTCCTCCCCTTGCCATGTGTCTTCTTCCTTGGGAGGAATTTCTGCTGTGCCTCCCTAATTACCCCTAGAAAATCCTGTCATTGCTGCTCCACCCTCTTCCCTCTAGGCTCCCCTACAAATCAACTCTGGCCAGCTCCTCCCTCATATCTTTGTAGTTACCTTTACTCATTTGTAATACTGTTACATCTGCTCCCAGCTTCTCCCTCTCAAACTCCAAGGTAAATTCTATCATATTATGGTCACTGTCCCCTAGGGGTTCTTTTACCTTCAGCTCTCTAATCAAGTCTGCCTCATTGCACAACACCTAATTTAGAATTGCCTGTTCCCTAGTGGGGTCTTTCACATGCTGCTTCATAAACTCCATCTCATAGACATTCCATAAATTCCTTTTCTTGGGATCTGCCACCAACTGATTTTTCTAGTCCACCTGTATACTGAAGTCCCCCATGATTATTGTGCCTTTCCTACTTATCATTTCTGTCTTCTGATTTATTTTCTTCCCTACATCCTGACGACTGCACGTAGGCCTGTATATAATTCCCATATTGGCCTTTTTTTACCCTGGGCAGTTCCTCAACTTTACCTAGACAGATTCTGTTACTTCCTACTCTACATCACTTTCCTGCTATTGATTTAATCTCATTTCTTACTAACAAAGCAACCCTGTCCCTTCTGCCCATCTACCTGTCCTTTCAATATTTAGTTCCCAGCCCTGATCCCTTTGTAGCCACATCTCTGTGGTACCCACAACATCATACACACCAATTTCAACCTGTGTTACAAGCACATTTACCTTGTTTTGCTTACTGCATGCATTTAAGTACAACATCCTCATTCCTGTGTTGGCTGCCCCCTTCTCATAATTGTCCATTTCTCTGTTATGCCTGAAGTTAGTGCCTTTCCATACTGTCTTTCCTATTGTTTGTTCCTGAAACTTTAATAACCTCTGCTGAGCCCTCTCCCCTTTAATGTTTTCCATAACTTTCCATTCAGCTAAACCTAACCCCCACTATTTAGTTTAAAGCCCTAACCACAGCCTTAGTTATGCAATTCACCAGGACTCTAGTCCCAGGTTGGAGCCTATCCCATTGGAACAGCTCCCTCCTTCCCCAGTACTGGTGCCAATGTCCCATGAATTCAAACCCACTTCTTCCACAACAATCTCTGAGCCACGCATTTACTTCTTTAATCTTGCTGACCCTGTACCAATTATTTCATGGCTTCAGTAGTAACCCAGAAATTATCATCTTTTTGGTTCTGCTTTTTAATTTAACCCCTAGCTGCTCACAGTCCCTCAGCAGAATCACTTTCCTCTTTCTACCTACATCATTGGTACCTATATGGTCAACGTCAACTGGATCTTTTCCCTCCCACTCCAAGTTCCTCTGTAGCCAAGATGAGATGCTCTGAACCCAGGCACCAGGCAGGCAACATGGCCTTCAAGACTCTTGATTCTCTGACTATACTATTCCCAATCATAACTACATCTCTTTTTAATTCACATTCTTGAATAGCTCCCTGTACCACAGTGCTATGGTCAGTTTTCTAATCCTCCCTACAGTCCCTGCTCTCATCAGAAAGGGAGCAAGAATCTCAAACCTGTCAGACAAGTTCAAGGGCTGAGGCTCCTTCAGCACTACCTCCTGGATCCCTCTACCTGCCTCACTTGTAGTCACACCCCTGTCCTTGACCACTGACTAATTCGAGGTAGTTAATCTCAGGGATGTGACTGCCTCCTAAAACACAGCATCCAGGTAACTCTCCTCCTGCCTGATGTGTCCATGTTCAAAGCTCAGCCTCCAGCTTATCAACTCTGATGGAATTCCTCAAATAACCAACACTTGCTGCACATGTGGTCACTACAGCCCATGATGGGGGTCCCCAGCTCCCAAATCGTGCAAGTATAACACATCGCCTGGCCCTGCATCTCTGTTTTATTTACTTAGTTCTGAATTTGATTTGTAAACATTTCCTACTGGCCTTTTCATTTGTAACCTGTAAATATTTCCCCTATTTACCTTGAAGAGGCTCCTTTAACTCAATCACAAGTAATTAAATAATTTAAGTAAAGGAGTTGCAGTCAGAATTATCTTCCGGCTTGAGTCAATAAAAATATTGTAAGGACAATTTAGACAGGTTTTCCAGCTGAAAGGCTGTCAATATGAACGAAGCCACTTTTCAGACAGCAAGTACAGTAATAGAGTCATAGAGATATACAGCACAGAAACAGACCCTTCGATCCAACTCATTCATGCTGACCAGATATCCTAAATAAATCTAATCCCATTAACCAGCATTTGGCCCATATCCCTCTAAACCCTTCCTATTCATATACCTATCCAGATGCCTTTAACTGTTGTAATTGTACCAGCCTCCACCACTTCTTCTGGCAGCTCATTCCATACACACACCACCCTCTGTGTGAAAAAGTTGCCCCATAGGTCCCTTTTAAATCTCTCCCCTCTCCTCTTAAACCTATAACACAATAACTTACTTCATAATTTTGTGTGACTGCTTGTTACTTTGAAAGTTTCAGACAATTATCCAAAAAGCATGATAGAGGTAGGTTAGAATAGCTAATTCCTGCATCTGGAAAGTAATATCAGAAGAAAAAGCTGAATATATAAATTTATTTACAAAGTGTAGCTTACTATGTAGTTTGAGACTTCTTAATGATTTTTGTTCAAGAAGTTGCTTAGTAAAAATGCCAAACAATTATCAAAAAAATGAAGTGCAGTAGAGTTCTGGGATAAAATTCTGCTATTTTTCAAAGATGAATACTTCTCTAAAGTTTCAGAGCTGATCTAGTAGTTACAATTTTTTTTTGAACTCCCAGTTGTGCCATAAGAAACTTCCTAGTTAACTTGTATAAGAGCCCATGAAGATACTCAAACGCTGGAAGAAGTGAGACTTGGCATTAAAATAATAGCTACTGAAAAACCCAGGACATAAGACCATAAGACATAGAAGTAGGCCATTCAGCCCATCAACTCTGCTGTACCATTCAGAGATTTTGGCTGATCTGATAATCCTCAACCTCAGTTTCTTGCCTATTCCCCATAACCCTGGATCTCCTTGCTATTTAAAATCTGTCTATCTCAGCCTTGAATGTTCTTAATGGCCCATCTTCTGTGTGAAGCAGAATGAAATTAATGAAATGCCAACTGACATTCAAAATAACATTCCTGCTGTAATATTAATAAGATTAACTTGCGTAATAGTGATTTTCTATTGAAGACTAATATGCAATTCAACAATTGCAAACTATACTAGAAGCATAAAAAATTATAGAGAAGACAATGACAGTTACTACAGAATAACATTACGAAAAAACATTTAAAGTTCTCAGTTTTATATAATCTTGAATCATCTTTTTAAATTTAAAGCTTATTACTTTTGAATAAATTGTACAATAAGTATTAAACTATCCCCTCAATGACTTATTTATACAGCAGATAAACTTGCTGGGCCAATGACAGAAATTAAAGGTACCAGGTTCAATCCCCTGATTTGGCCATATCCCAACAGATGATTTTCACACTCTGGATGTTACTTAATGGCCTTGAGTTACCTTGCTAGGAGATTGCCCAGATAACTCTGCCAGGAGTGCCTGTGGCTTTCTGCACTGTGGTTCCTTGTTCAAAGGCATTTTGTGTTAAATCAATTGAATTCCCACATCCCACCCCTCTTAACTGTCTCCAGAGAATCCATCAACAAACCACTGTCACCAGTGTAACACTGGTAGGTGCCACTACTCTCCAGTGATGCTGTTGGTGTGGCAGCCTGCAGCTCTGAGGGCCACGATTTCTGTCCCAGTCACAGCACGGCAGCAATTAGATGACCCCAAAGGAACTCCAATCTCTGGCAGCAGGGAACCTACTCTGCAAGTGTGTGTCACCAGATTTTTCTGTGGATGACACTGCCCAGATTCTGCTGTATGTTCTTCTGAATCTAATCTCTTATGTAATCATTCTCTTTACCTCCCTTTGATAGCTCTCTACTTAGTCATCTAGTTTTCACACTCTAGCATTCCCTGTTAATTCCCTGCGCCTTCCCATTTCACTTAAACCCATACGTTTGACCAAATTTTTGATCACTACTTCTGACTTCTCCTTTGACTTTGTCTAATTTTGTCTGATCAAACATTGTGAAGTCTTTGAGATTATTTTTACATTGAAAACATTAGACAAATTAACATTCCTGGCCACTTTTGTTCATAGGAAACATTTATATCTGATATTGTAATTTTTCCTTTATAAATTTTGTACAGCTGTGTTTTATAAGGTTATTTGTAAGGCAGTGGTAGTATCCATATCTTTGAGCCAGGAGCCTGTGTTTTGTCCTAATGCTCCAGAGGTGTGTAATAACATCCCTGAACAGGTTAATTAGAAACTTTTTTTTTCACAGCTTTGTGTTCCATTTGAAATTGGGATCAAGATGAGTACCAAACAATTTCAGAAATATGGGGAACACCTGGGTGAGCTCCTGCATAACATTTTGTCAGAAAACACAAATGGTAAGACAGGTTTTATTCAGACTTTGAAATTTCACCTCAAAGGATTTAGAAAAAATATATGAAACTTGAAGTCTTGGGATGATCATGCTGATATACATGTTGATAATTAATCAGGAATGAAATATATCTCTGTGCAAATATGTTTCATCACTCATTAGTTTAATAAACGTGTTTGATTTCAATTTAAACAGCTATTGAGTGGGTGGTGGCATAGTAAAAATGTCACTGGACTAGTTACCCAGAAGGCCAGGCTAATACTCGGAGAACAAAAACAAAAAAGAAAATTGGTCCATTAAATGGTGGAATTTAAATTCAATTAATAAAAACTGTAATTGAAAGTTAGTCTGAAAAACCATGTGGTTCATTTTAGGGAAAGAAATCTGCCGTCCATAGGTGGTCTGGCCTACGTGTGACTCCAGACTCACAGCAATGTTGACTCTAAACTAAATAATCTTTTAAGTCACTCTGTTAAAGATGAATTGTGATGAGCAGCAAATGCTAGCCCTGTCTATGGTGCCCACAGTTATTGTTGATCTGATCTAGATATAGATTTTTCTTAGATGAACCTCTTAAATACGAGTTTTGAAAAGTTAAATAGTTCTTGGTGACATTTTTTCCAGGTAAAAGCTATTTTGAAATCGACATTATTTTTAAGGCTTAGCTGTTGTGTGAGAATTATATGATATTTAAGGATGCATAGACACCGGTAATAATTTTGTTTCTTTTCCTTTTTTCAAAACAGGTCAATGACTTCAGCAAATCAGACTGGTTAAATATTGATCTATAGTTCATAAGTGACAGAGAAAGATTGTAGGAAACTTATATGTATAGTGACATTTAATAATTAATAAAGTAATAACATAATGATGACTTTTGTGTGGCATTGAATATCTCTGTTTATATTTTGAATGCTGTATTGAACATATAGCGTAGCAATCTTGAGATGATTTTTTTCCTTCACTCTGTGTGCTATTTTTAAACCCCTGAAACACACTTCTGCCCTTCTCTCCAGAACGCAGTGCCTCAAGCTGAGACATGAGGCTGCATTTAATGTAGACTATTACAGTTGGAAATATAGTGCTGGCCCGTTTAGTTGTGAGCAATACTCTTTGTCAGGCTTTTGACAGTGGGATAACTGAATAGGGAAAACAAAACTTACATGCTGCTTTGCACAAAATCAGCGCTTTACAAAGTACTTTTGAAGCATAGTCAGTATTGTAAAGAATTACAACATTGTGCATGATTATTTTTGGAATTGACTTAAATTACAGGTCTATTTTATTTCGAGTAGAAATGTATTTACACAAATTTAATCAATAGTTATTCTTCAATATGTCTATCACACTCTTTTGGGATTAACGATCCTCAGGTCAGCTTTATTAGACCCTTTTCATTTTTGTACCTCCTAAACTCTACCAAATAATTACAATATTGTGTTTTTGTCATGGGAACCTGTTGCTTGAAATAAGTAAAAAATGCATCAGTTGTTTCAGGAACACAAAAACTCAGACATTCATGTTACGTCATAAACAGAGGAATAATGGCCCTTTTCTCTTCATCACCCCTTCCTCTTCTATCCAAAATTTAAGTGAGAGTTATATACTGGTCATTAGGGTGTAAACAAATATATTGCCATAAAACAATAAAACACGTGCAAAAAAGTTTCTGTAATAGCATCATATCACACTTCTTAGAAATAGTTCAAATATTTCATACTCAATGTATTATTTTTGGAGCATAATTACATACGCAAGTGTGGCAAACATTTCCAAAAGCAATAAGATCAAATAATCACGGAACAGTAACAAGAAAGGAGGAGGTTATTTGGCTCTTATTGTCCACGCTAGGTTTCCACAAGTGCAATTCAGCTGGTCCCATTCCTCTGCCCTTTTTCTGCAGCCCTGCTGTATTTTTTCTTTATACAACTGCACAGCTCCCTTTTGAATGCCACAATTAGTGCACTTTCAGACAATACATTCCAGACCCTAACCACTTGGATTTAAAAGGTTTTCTTTGTCTTGCTTTTGGTGGAGGTGAAGCACCATGCCACTACTGGTATGCCCTGACAGGAGACTTCTGATAGAGCCATATGTGGTTCCTCCATCTGCCAGGTGCTTCCTGGCATCGCCTTGGCTCCTTGTGAGCAAAGGCACTGACAATGCTCAGCAGGTTCTTTGTGCCCCAGTCACCGTGCCTTTGATCCTAAGGACCAATGGTTAAGGCAGTGGAGTGCAGTTTTTTTTTTCCTTTTCAGCAGGCCCTGAGGGTGTCATGGAGGCAGACAGATGGTTGTATGGGTCATTACACTGATGCAGCTTCCGGGAAATAAGGGCAATTGCTTCCCCCATATTGTCTGCCATTCCTGTTCCAACCTGTGCAAGTAGTGTAGAGATCCCTAACTGCAGATACTACAGTGTCTTCTCCTGAAGATTTCTCTGAAGGGTCCAGACCCGAAACATCAGCTTTCCTGCTCCTCTGATGCTGCTTGGCCTGCTGTGTTCATCCAGCTCTATGCCTTCTTATTTCAGTGTCTTCTCCTGTTTGGGGCTGAGAAAGCGCCTGGTCCCCATTAGTCCTCTGAGAGCCAGTGGGCTGCAGCATGTCTTCCTTGGCCAGCTGGTGTGGAATGAATGAGACTGACAGTGGAGTTAATGTGAAGCTAAAGAAAGCTAATCGTTTTCTCTCATTAGTTACTTGAAGCCATTGATTTTAACCAATAACTCAGACTTCATAATTTGGGAACAAGTTGCTCTCTGCCGTCAATGAAGAAGTGAAAAAACCTGAAGAAAAGCTTAGAGAACGAAAGGACTTGAGAAACAAAGAAGAAGTCCTCAGCAAACCCTGAGTATTGGTGCTATTATACTATTTCCCAGTTTATTTTTTTTTCCCCTTCTATCCTTAACAGAAATCTTTTTCTAAAAGCAAAATATTCTGGATGCTGGAAAAGTGGAGAAACTCAGAAAGTCCAGCACCATCTATGCCGTGAGAAATAGAGAAAACATTTTGAGTCTGACATGACTTCTTCATTTCTGACTCCCCAATTTTTTTTAGTCTGTCTGTATGTGCATGTATTGGGGGTTCACAGTTCATAGTTGTTTACCTGCAGTTATATTTATTGGTAGTAAATAATAGTTCTTATTCTGTATAGAAATGTGGTCCTTGTTCTTTGTCAACCTGAGTCCATCAGGCAGGTAATTTGATTTCCCCTGTGCTACCACAGGGAGTCACAACAAACACAAAATTTCCCCTTTAAGAGAACAGCTCCAATTCTTCCAAACTCTTAGAGAACCCTGAATGTCCTAATCCTTACAGAAATTCTACTGCATCCTGACTGCCAAAGTTTTCAAGGTCCTTTGTAATGTGCTGTGCTCAGAACGAAACATAATCCTCCAGATCAAGCTGAGCCAGCGCTTTAAAGATAGAGATAGTAGGAACTGCAGATGCTGGAGAATCCGAGACAACAAGGTGCAGGGCTGGATGAACACAGCAGGCCAAGCAGCATCATAGGAGCAGAGAGGCTGACGTTTCGGGCCTAGACCCTTCATCAGAAAAGGGGGAGGGGAAGGGGGTTTTGAAATAAATAAGGAGAGAGTGGGAGGCGGATAAAAGAGGGATAGAGGAGAGGATAGGT